AATTCTGTGACCATCAGATTATTTGTTATGCATTCATTTTGCTATAAATTTCAGTGTTAACGATTTAGTATGCGTTTCCCTATAAAATACTCAAAGCTAGACATTCAGTGATGTTTTATGCGCAGTACTTTGTCCAGCCATTGTTCTTTCTTAGAAATGTTCATGGATTCGATATAGAATTCGTCAATTTGCTGTTCTCTAAATCTGTAAAGAATAGGACAAATTTTGAATCAATTTTTAGCATTTTATGTAGATTAGGTTGTTTAGGTTGCCTTCCAAGATTTCAACAATGTCTCACGGAAACGTCTTTGGATTAACCCATAGTGGAAATACCTGTAGCCAGGGAGTTGATGCCGTGACAGTGACTTTAACCATCCAGAAATTGACTGGGCAGGTGAATCCTCTCCTAGAGATTGAAATCACCCAGCATCCTTGTTCTTGAAGTCTGTGCGAGACTCATTTTTAATCCAGAACATCACCAAGCCAACCCATTTTAGGGGTAAACAGACCCCAAATATTATAGATCTAGTGTTTACTATAAATAGTGAAGAATAATGAAAGATGAGCTTCGCCACGAGGCTCCGTTGGGCAAAAGTCACCACCAATCATTGTTTTTCAGGATTAAGTGCTATAAATAAAAGACGCTTCGGAAGCGTGAACGTTTCAACTTTGCGAAAGGCAAAGATGCATGTTAGATTCTGTGATGCATTGAATGCGGCGAATATTTCAGACTGTATTATAGACATAAATGTGGCTGATTCAAGGTCGTATTTCAAAGGCACTTTTATGCCTGCAGTTGATGCCTGCGTACCTAAGACTACGCTTGGAGGAGCCGAAAAGTCCCAGTGGATGAACAGTGCAGTTAAGACTCAGCTAAAGACCAGGAAAGAAGCCTACAAGCGTTATTTACGAACACGCAGCGATTCTGATTATAACCTGTATGCAAGAGCACGAAATCAAGCTAAAAATAATTGTCGCACTACAGTAAAAAAACTTCGAACAAAAATATTGCTAAAAATGCAAAAAAGAATCCGAAAGCCTTCTTTTTGTACGCTAGTTCGAAGTGTAAGTCAAAGGACGGTATATCTCATTTGAAAGTAGACCAACGAAAGATTTCCTCTGATGAGGGCAAGGCTAACGTTCTTAATCAGTTCTTCAGCAGTGTGTTCACAGATGAAGACTTGAACAGTATTCCAGATATTGAGGAGCGCCCAGTCGGCTCGAAATTAACAGGCTTTGAAATACAAGAAGAAGAGGTTCTCAAGCGCCTGGTAGCTCTAAATCCCAACAAATCATGTGGACCAGACGGCTCCCATCCCAGATTGTTCAAAGAATTAGCAACCGTTATGGCCAGCCCATTGACTGTGTTCTTTAAAAGAGAACTTTCAACAATGGAACTTTGACAGTCGAATGGAAAGAAGCTCAAGTAACACCATTGTTCAAAAAAAGTGACAAAAGCAGCCCCGGCAACTATCGCCCTGTCAGTCTGACAAGTGTTGTTTGTAAGCTAATGGAATCTGTTGACTGTTGTGAGGGATAGGATTATCGATCACTTGACTGTTAACTATCTCCTATCAGACTGTCAACATGGCATTATTGCCGATAGATCCTATACCACTAACCTCTGATCTACTTTGAACTATTGGAGTAGCCTGCTGTAGGAAATCTTCCATTACCGTACTTTTTTTTCATTGCCGTACATTCCCACTTTCGGTCCATTGCCGGCTACCACCCCCAGGCCCCTCCAGGAACACTAGGGTTTGCCCTCGAATGTATAATTTTCTTACACCCATCAGAGAAAATTGTCTTTAGAGCTGCATGGTGGACTGAATTAAAGTAAGATTACGATTGTTACAATGTTAGGAGCGCGGAAAAAAGGATGCCTGTTATATTGCTGCTATACGATCGGAACTTGTTTCGTATATTGTTTTCGTTTGGCTTAAATTTACAACAGTTAAATTATTCATTTTATATACGATGGTAAAACATCTTGAAATTGAGGAACTACATTAATTCCCGATTGAAATCCAGATGGATATTTTTTCCGAGTTTCAAACTGCTTTTTAATTGACAAATGTCGTAAAGTAAAACCAACGACACATATGAAATTAAATGGAATTCGATTTAAATTTCACTTCAAATCATTTAGAAAATTTTAATTTTTGAAAGAGTGAATATCTGACGTTAAGCGTTCACTGTAGCGACATTCACTGTAGCGGCGTTCACTGTAGCGACATTCACTGTAGCGGCGTTCACTGTAGCGACATTCACTGTAGCAGCGTTCACTGTAGCAGCGTTCACTGTAGCGACAAGCAGCGTTCACTGTAGCAGCGTTCACTGTAGCAGCGTTCACTGTAGCAGCGTTCACTGTAGCAGCGTTCACTGTAGCGGCGTCCACTGTAGCAGCGTTCACTGTAGCGGCGTTCACTGTAGCAGCGTTCACTGTAGCAGCGTTCACTGTAGCAGCGTTCTCGCTACATTTATCTAAATATGTCAGCTAATCTCTTAAAGAGCACGTATCGCTCCATCATTCGTCACCTCTTCATGTCGCTCTCAGGGCAATTAGTTGCTCTCTTTAATCTCACTCTTTAATTAACTAACTCAACATAATCTGCTCTTATCAATAACGCTGAGCGCCGTGATGCTCTTTAAAGCGACATAAGTGAAGAGCTAAGCTGACTTTAATGGCGTTATTTACCGTCAGGAATATTTCCCTGCACCTCAGTAGCCGACGAGCTTCCGGCGTGAGTGGTTGTGTACCGCGCTGCTGCCGCCTCTCCTACACTGGAACTCTGCATTCCATTCTTGTATCGACGACGCATTATAATGTATTCTTGATGTTTATATATAATATATGTGTTTTGTTAAGGTTTATGTGTTATTTTAGATGTATATTTTGAAGCTCATCGCCCAAGGGTTTGTTGTTTTTGAAGGAGAAAGAAAATTGAAGTCGACAGCGGGCGAAACTCCACGGGGGGCAGCACCAGCATTTCCCTGCCCCGTACAAACTACACGGGGGCGCCGTGTTATTTTTTGGTTTATTGATAATTTCAACATTAATTAAATTGGTATTAAATTATTTAAATTATTATCAATAAATAAAATCGTCCGATATTGAATCAGTTCACCCGCATTTAACTAATCACGAAGAATTCGTGTCATTGTTATAAGTGATTGGTGCTTTAAGATTGGTGCTATAAATAACATTAGGTTTAATTTATTGATAAAAAAGGTTATATACAAACGTTATAAATTATTATATTATAAAGGCTAACCTCAAACCGGCCATGTTAATTGATAATGTGGGCTACGAAATCTATATACGATTGCTATGTATTAATGTGTGTGTGATCTTCCATGACACGCTTAGAACTTGAATTAGGTTTAAATTAAGCTTAAATTAAGCTTAAATTTTTATTAAATTAACCTTAAATTAGGCTTATATTAAGCTGAAACTAATTTCAAATTAGGCCTCAATTGAGCTTAAATTAAGCTTAATGATGATAATCTGTGCTGTCATGATTATGAGCTGTAAATATCATCACATGCGATGATTATGAGCTGTAAATAACAGCGGTTGATTATAAGCGATAACAGTAGCAGCTGGAGCGGCGGAACCGGAACTGGAACTCTTCCGGCAAACCAATTTCCGTTAATGATAACCGTGACGGCTGACGCCACATGTGGCATGTGGCATATGGCATGTGACATGTGGCATGTGGCATGTGGCGTTGTTATAGACGTGCTTATTACTTAAATATATTGAGTGTTTGTGATGATAGCATTTATGGAAGAACACAGCCCGTGAATGTTTCGGTGCAAGATTGAATTTAGAGAGAGGAGAAGCAATAAATCCCCCCTCCTTCCCCACTCACGGCCAAATGACGGTAATTACACGTTTATTTCGTTGAAATAACGGCTAAACGCCGTTGAAAATAACGTTGAAAAATAATAACGTTGAAATAACGGCTAAAAGACGTTGAAAATAACGTTGAAGAAATAATAACTTTGAAAAAACGATTATCTAAACCCCTTATCTAAACCCCTTATCTAGACCCCTTATCTAGACCCCTTATCTAAACCCCTTATCTAAACCCCTTATCTAAACCCCTTATTTAAACACCTTATCTAAACCCCTTATCTAAACCCCTTATTTAAACCCCTCATCTAAACCCCTTATCTAAACCCCTTATCTAGACCCCTTATCTAAACCCCTTATCTAAACCCCTTATTTAAACCTCTTATCAAAACCCCTTATTTAAACCCCTTATCTAAACCCCTTATCTAAACCCCTTATCTGAACCCCTTATTTAAACCCCTTATCTAAACCCCTTATCAAAACCCCTTATCTAAACCCCTTATCAAAACCCTTATCTAAACGCCTTATCTAAACCCCTTATCTAAACCCCTCATCTAAACCCTTTATCTAACCCCCTTATCTAAACCCCTTATCTTAACCCCTTCATGCAATTCCCATTGGGAATCGCACAGCAATGGTTGGAATATTCCCGATTCCCAGCCCGTATTCCAGGATTCCAAATATCACCGGGATTTTTTTCGAGCGATTCCCACAATTTGATTTTGGGCATCATTCCCATTCCAAGAATTCGGGAATTCCCACACAAATTCCTGGCCGTGGAAATCTGGAATTTGTCGCAGGCGCGAGTAATGATGTGGGAATGGGGAAGTGGGAATGGTGAAGTGGGAATGGGGAAGTGGGAATGGGGAAGTGGGAATGGGGAAGTGGGAATGGGGAAGTGGGAATGGGGAAGTGGGAATGGGGATGTGGGAATGGGAATGGGGAAGTGGGGAAGTGGGAATGGGGAAGCAGGAATGGGGATGTGGGAATGGGGATGTGGTAATGGGTCATGCCACAATAAGTGCGTCATGCCACAATAAGTGAGTCATGCCACAATAAGTGGGTCATGCCACAATAAGTGGGTCATGCCACAATAAATGAGTCATGCCACAAAGTGGGTCAAGTTGACTCACCTCTCACGATGGGGGAGAAGACCTTGATCATGGGGGTGTGGGGAGGGTGGGAGGCGCCTGCAAAAGGGGGGAGGGTTAGTGGTTACGGTTACAGCTACGGTTACGGCTACGGTTACAGTTACAGTTACGGTTACGGCTACGGTTACGGTTACGGTTACGGTTACGGTTACGGTTACAGCTACGGTTACGGCTACGGTTACGGTTACGGCTACGGTTACGGCTACGGTTACGGTTACGGCTACGGTTACGGCTACGGTTACGGTTACGGTTACAGCTACGGTTACGGCTACGGTTACGGCTACGGTTACGGTTACGGCTACGGTTACGGCTACGGTTACGGTTACGGTTACAGCTACGGTTACGGCTACGGTTACGTCTGTCTCTTATACACATCTAGATGTGTATAAGAGACAGCCCTTCATCTAAACCCCTTAACTAAACCCCTACTCTAAAGCCCTTATCTAAACCCCTCATCTAAACCCCTTATCTAAACCCCTTATCTAAACCCCTAATCTAGACCCCTCATCTAAACCCCTTATCTAAAGCCCTTATCTAAACCCCTTATCTAATTCCCTTATCTAAACCCCTTATCTAAACCCCCTATCTTAACCCCTCATCTAAACCCCTTATCTAAACCCCGTATCTTAACCCCCTTATCTAACCCCCTTATCTAAACCCCTTCTCTAAACCCCTTCTCTAAACCCCTTCTCTGAACCCCTTATCTAAACTCCTTATCTTAACCCCTTATCTAAACCCCTTATCTAAACCCCGTATCTAAACCCCTTATCTAAACCCCTAATCTAGACCCCTCATCTAAACCCCTTATCTAAAGCCCTTATCTAAACCCCTTCTCTGAACCCCTTATCTAAACCCCTTATCTAAACCCCTTATCTTAACCTCTTATCTAAACCCCTTATCTAAACCCCGTATCTAAACCCCTTATCTAAACCCCTTATCTAAACCCCTTATCGAAACCCCTTATCTAAACTCCTTATTTAAACCCCTTATCTAAACCCCTTATCTAAACCCCTTATCTAGACCCCTTATCTAGACCCCTTATCTAAACCCCTTATCTAAACCCCTTATCTAAACCCCTTATTTAAACACCTTATCTAAACCCCTTATCTAAACCCCTTATTTAAACCCCTCATCTAAACCCCTTATCTAAACCCCTTATCTAGACCCCTTATCTAAACCCCTTATCTAAACCCCTTATTTAAACCTCTTATCGANTGGGAATGCTGTGGCGTGGGAATGCTGTGGCGTGGGAATGCTGTGGCGTGGGAATGCTATGGCGTGGGAATGCTGTGGCATGGGAATGCTGTGGCGTGCTGTGGCATGCTGTGGCTAGAAGCACTGCAATAAATTGCTTCCATTGTTGCGAGTCAAAGGAGCTTCCCTCGGAAAGAAAATTTAGAGGGTTTTACCTTTGAAAGGTTTCCCTTGGTCCCCTCGTTCAGAGGAACCCTCGCTGTGGCAACATTGACTGACATACGAGGTCTTTCTAGCGGGAATTCCTGAACGTTTTCCGAGGGAAATCGCTAAAAGAAACAACTCAATTGTGGGGAATGCTAGCTTGTCGGATGCAAGAAGATTTTTGCAACGAGAATAAAGGGGAAACGTTTTTATTTTAAAGTAAAAGTTTTACAATTTAAATTAAAATAATAAATAACTAAAATAATAATATTTTTATTAACTTAAAATAATAATATTTTATTAACTTAAAAATAATAATATTTTATTAACTTGAAAATAATAATAAAGCTAACAAATAATTTTTTAACTTTTTGCTCAATGTCCATATAATTCTTTAACATTTCTTTTCAGGTTACATTTGTTTTGTTTTGATTCTAATTTCCAGAATAAAAATTTCATTTATCTGGAAAACAAACTCTGTCTATTTTATCCCGTGAATTTTACTCTCAATATATTTTTCAGTGAATTTCCCCTCTACATTTCCCTCAGTTCTACCCTCGTCTCTCCCTCCCGCCAAAAATCTGGTCAGTAAAACGCGATCGTTGAACGCACTGCCGGTTTTAGAGGCTATAAACGCTGGCGTTCACTGCAGCAGCGTTCACTGTAGCAACGTTCACTGTAGCAGCGTTCACTGCAGCAGCGTTCATTTTGTAGTAGCACATAAAATCGCTGAATAAAGCCACTTACAAGGGACTATTTTTTAACCTAATAAATATACTACATTTTTATATATAATATATAATTTAATGTAACACCTTATTATATCTAATATATAAATTATTATAATACATAATTATAACTAATATTCAATTCAATATAATAACATTATTATTTATAATACCTAACTAATATAATATATTATTTTATCTAATACGTAATCTAATATTGCACAGTATTTTATTGAATATATAACCTGATATAATACATTACTATTACATCTAATATATAATGTAATATAATATATTATTATAACGAATATGTAATCTAATATGAAACATTTTTATATCTAATACATAATCTAATACAATAGGTTTTTATATCTAATATATTATTTAATATAATTCATATAATATCTAATCTAAAATGTAACATAATACCAATTATTTTTAATATATAATCAAAAATGATACCTTATTATACCTCATATATAATCCAATAACACATACCAAACATGGGTATTATCAACCATTAATGTGTGCCCCCAAAAGACAGTAAGTATATTAAATTTCAATTTGTTTCGGTCCCCCCTCAAGGCAAAGAAAACAGCTCCGTTTTCTTTAATCTAAACCTGATCAGATTTGCAGGATAAATCTCGGGGATCTCCGCTGCCAAATCCAGGATTTGTTGGGATTTCAGGCGTTGGGAAAACAACGGACATTATACACCAGGGATAGGGACATCGCAGGGGCAACCCGCAGGGGAAATCCACGCTGGATTGCCATTTTGGAGCCGCGGGCGTCGACAATATCCATTAATATCCCTTGCAGGGAGCCAATATCCACTGCAGGGAGCCAATATCCACTGCAGGGAGCCAATATCCACTACAGTGAGCCAATATCCACTGCAGGGAGCCAATATCCACTGCAGGGAGCCAATATCCACTGCAGGGAGCCAATATCCACTGCAGGGAGCCAATATCCACTGCAGGGAGCCAATATCCACTGCAGGGAGCCAATATCCACTGCAGGGAGCCAATATCCACTGCAGGGAGCCAATATCCACTGCAGGGAGCCAATATCCACTGCAGGGAGCCAATATCCACTGCAGGGAGCCAATATCCACTGCAGGGAGCCAATATCCACTGCAGGGAGCCAATATCCACTGCAGGGAGCCAATATCCACTGCAGGGAGCCAATATCCACTGCAGGGAGCCAATATCCACTGCAGGGAGCCAATATCCACTGCAGGGAGCCAATATCCACTGCAGGGAGCCAATATCCACTGCAGGGAGCCAATATCCACTGCAGGGAGCCAATATCCACTGCAGGGAGCCAATATCCACTGCAGGGAGCCAATATCCACTGCAGGGAGCCAATATCCACTGCAGGGAGCCAATATCCACTGCAGGGAGCCAATATCCACTGCAGGGAGCCAATATCCACTGCAGGGAGCCAATATCCACTGCAGGGAGCCAATATCCACTGCAGGGAGCCANGAGGGCGGGAGATGCCGTGGCATAACATGGCATGTCCTGAGGGCGGGAGATGCCGTGGCATAACATGACATGTCCTGAGGGCGGGAGATGCCGTGGCATAACATGGCATGTCCTGAGGGCGGGAGATGCCGTGGCATAACATGGCATGTCCTGAGGGCGGGAGATGCCGTGGCATAACATGGCATGTCCTGAGGGCGGGAGATGCCGTGGCATAACATGGCATGTTCCTGAGGGGCGGGAGATGCCGTGGCATAACATGGCATGTCCTGAGGGCGGGAGATGCCGTGGCATAACATGGCATGTTTTATCACAGCTCGACGGCTATCGCTCCCCCGAGTCGCTCGCCTTAATCGCGGCACGAAAAAAAATTCGCTTTAGGAAACTTTAACACAAAAAATACGGAACTTTGGGTGGCGATACGGGCACGTATCTCTGAGCATACGGGCACGTATCTCTGAGCATGCGGGCACGTATCTCTGAGCATACGGGCACGTATCTCTGGGCATACGGGCACGTATCTCTGAGCATACGGGCACGTATCTCTGGGCATACGGCCACGTATCTCTGGGCATACGGCCACGTATCTCTGGGCATACGGGCACGTATCTCTGAGCATACGGGCACGTATCTCTGGGCACACGGCCACGTATCTCTGGACATACGGGCCACGTATCTCTGAGCATACGGGCACGTATCTCTGAGCATACGGGAACGAATCTCTGAGCATACGGCCACGTATCTCTGAGCATACGGGAACGTATCTCTCAGCATACGGGCACGTATCTCTGAGCATACGGGAACGAATCTCTGAGCATACGGGCACGTATCTCTGAGCATACGGCCACGTATCTCTGAGCATACGGTCACGTATCTCTGAGCATACGGGCACGTATCTCTGAGCATACGGGCACGTATCTCTGAGCATACGGGCCACGTATCTCTGAGCATACGGCCCACGTATCTCTGGGCATACGGGCCACGTATCTCTGAGCATACGGCCACGTATTTCTGGTCATACGGGCACGTATCTCTGGGCATACGGGCACGTGAGGCCGTAAGACATCGTAATTACGCCAGCACTTTAACGGCGGTGGCAGCTCGTAAAATAACGTAATGATGCCGGCAATAAAACAGTGTCCATTTGTGGCGTCGTAACGACGTCGTAAACAATCTGTAATGAACCGCAGCGTGTTGTGTTCGTATATTTTCGGGAATACGGGAATGAGATGGGAATCGGGAATTGTGGGAAAGAAATAGTTGGGGGAAAGGGGGATAAACCATTCAACCCCAACCCTTTACCCTCCAAAAACAAACCCCACACAATCCCTCCCCCCCACAACCCCCATTCCTGTTTTCCTCCGCGATTCCCGAAGTTGTTTCCCGATTCCCGCTGTCATTCCAGGAATCGGTTCCCGTTTGTTGGGCGCACAACTTCTCTAATTCCAGAAAACTTTTCCGCCATTTTTTATAGCAAAAACAACCAATTTTCTGCCGCCATTTTGCAAAAAAATTATTGCCGCCATTTTTTTATTGCAAAAAAAATTTTTCGCCGCCATTTTGTTTAGCTAGCAGAGACAACGAATTTTTTGTTATCGCGATAACAAAAAGATAAAATAAGTGCGAAAAATTGTTGATATTGTGCAATGATAAGGCAATGATAAGGCAATGATATGGCAATGATAAGACAATGATAAGGAAATGATATGGCAATGATAAGACAATGATAAGGCAATGATATGGCAATGATATGGCAATGATATGGCTATGATATGGCAATGATATGGCAATGATATGGCAATGATATGGCAATGATATGGCAATGATATGGCAATGATATGGCAATGATATGGCAATGATATGGCAATGATATGGCAATGATATGGCAATGATATGGCAATGATATGGCAATGATATGGCAATGATATGGCAATGATATGGCAATGATATGGCAATGATATGGCAATGATATGGCAATGATATGGCAATGATATGGCAATGATATGGCAATGATATGGCAATGATATGGCAATGATATGGCAATGATATGGCAATGATATGGCAATGATATGGCAATGATATGGCAATGATATGGCAATGATATGGCAATGATATGGCAATGATATGGCAATGATATGGCAATGATATGGCAATGATATGGCAATGATATGGCAATGATATGGCAATGATATGGCAATGATATGGCAATGATATGGCAATGATATGGCAATGATATGGCAATGATATGGCAATGATATGGCAATGATATGGCAATGATATGGCAATGATATGGCAATGATAAGGCAATGATATGGCAATGATAAGGCAATGATATGACAATGATAAGGTCGCCATCTTCATGTTGTAACCCCGGCGTCTACAAGACAAACTTTTTACAACTTCTTTGGTCGACCATAAAAGTCGTAAAGACGACCGTAAAATCCCCCCTGCTGCTCCTGAGATTTGTTTTGAAAGATTTTAATGCTTAATAAAGTAATTTATTTATATGATTTAAATGGCAAACAATGAAATAGCTTTTTAATATATAATTTAAATTGTAATTATTACGAATATATTATTTAATATTTCAAATCTTTATCATTGATAAACTTATTTATTAGAAGGATTTTGATCCTCAATAAAGTATTATATTTTTAGGATTTTTAGACTTATCGATAAAATAGTTTTTGGTTTTTTATTTCAACTATAACGAATAAATTATTTTATATATTGAATATTAACACTAAATAAACTTGTTTATAATTAAGATTTTTATGCCCAACAAAGAAATTTATTTTTATGAATTTAATGCCGACAATAAAATATATTTTTATTTGATATTTCAACTATTTAGAAAATTAT